TCTATCAAAGTCGAAAATATTTAGTCTAAGAAGGCCTAAAAAGACAGTTATGAAAGTCGACCCCACTCGATTTTAAGAAAACTAATAACACGTTTTCAAAGTAAAAAAAATCTAGTGTAAAAGTGACTAAAAGGACCCTTATCAATGTCAACAAAATCTGGAGGAAGGAATACTAAAAGACCGTTTATAACAGTCGACAAAATATAGTGGAAAACTGACGAAAACGACCCATATCAATGTCAACAAAATCTAGTGGAAGGAAAACTAAAACACCTTTATAACAGTCGACAAAATATAGTTTTAACGTTGGAAATCCGTAGACTTACCGCTGTCCCATCGGGGGGACTTGTCAATGTGACACTCGTGTAATCGTATGCTCTCAGTAGAAAATATTATTATTTGCGGGTGTGGACTAGTTAGTTAGCGTGCTGAGTTGCGTATCCAAGGTTCGAGCCGTGATATGTTGCTCGAAAAACTCCATACTTTTCAACGTTATGGGTCTTATAACTGTGATCGTCAATCCCTCTATTCAGTTAAGACCAGCTGATAAGCGGCAGATGCCCCTGAGCGGCTTCAATCCTTCTGATCGGCAGCTCTAAATTAAGAATGGCTATGTCTGAACCAAAGGCTACTTTGACCCGGTCGTTCAGCCCTTGTGTTTCAAGTTTAAAATATCAAACGTCAGGTGTATGGTTTCAACAGTTATAGCTATTAATAGAAAGTGTTGTTACGACAGCGGAATTCACCTGACGCTGGTAACACGTAATGAGTATCTAGAACGTTCGTGAAGGCTCGAGTGTTCTCCAGACGCCCTCTATTTTGTATATATAAGACCGGCGAGAAGTGACGGGATAGGAGATAATTGCAGACAGAGAGATATAGAGACAGATAATCGAGTCAAGCCGTAAGTAAAGTGCGTGAATCGTTGTGAATTCTAGCATGTGTTTAAGTGAAAGTAATTGTGGAAATTAAGTGTATTGCAAAGTTATATTGAGAAAGAATAAATTAGTTTTATTTAAGAAAATTATTTTCGGAAAGAATTTCCACGGAAAATTAACAAACGACCAGAGATGTAACAGTATCATAACAACCAAAATTACTTGACCAACACGGAGGTTACTACTGACTATGGAGAGAGTCAAGATGAGTATGTACGAGTGGTAAACATTATTAGAGGGCTTTAAGATGAGAGAGAGTCTGCGTGGGTGAGTTAACTGTTGTATAAATGCAGGTTTTTCAGTGATAAAAACCTTATATTCTGAAATGTTTTATTATATAATTAATAAACTTCACATCCCAAGTGTTTTTATCAGTTAGGTTTATGAGAATTTCTTTTGAATAAATATCTGAAAACGACAACAAAATCACGCATTGGAAGAGTAACAAGTGTTAAAGTTTGCCTTATCCAGATGACATAATAAACACTGATTATTCTGGAAAAGCTACATCGATAGCTACACACGACAGAAATGTTAGATCTCACATTGGAGTCGACTGTTACAAACTACAGATACAACAAAGGAAACGTTATATCTAATTAGAGAACATAAATACTGATTGTTCTGGAGGAGGTGCATCAGATGCTACACACGACAGAAATGTTAGATCTCACATTGGAGTCGACTGTTACAAACTACAGATACAACAAACGAAACGTTATATCTAATTAGAGAACATAAATACTGATTGTTCTGGAGGAGGTGCATCAGATGCTACAAACTACAGCTATAACTACAGAAACATGGAGGAGAATCTGGTGAAGATTTTGTTCAAGATTTTATTACCCTTCGTGACAAGAACGTTCTGAAGTACTATGAGGTCAGTTATGGAGCACTATCTGTCAACTACTGGAAGGTAGCCAATGTGTAATTAGCATTGTTGAAACATGAAACTACTGGAAGGTAGCCAATGTGTAATTAGCATTGTTGAAACATGAAACTACTGGAAGGTAGCCAATGTGTAATTAGCATTGTTGAAACATGAAACTACTGGAAGGGAATCAAT